CTTGGTGAGAAAACTTGCCTTTAGGTTTCTGGCAGACGTGCCCATGGGTTTTGCTTCTTAAAACCGCGTTTGACCGTTTCCGGTTGCGGGGGCCCCTGTTCAGGACCCACGTGCTCCGGTGAAGGCGATGGAGCAAACGAGAGCTGGTCACCAGGGCAGACATGTCTGCAGGATGCTCACGGAGATCTAACAAGCCCGGGGGTGGTCGCTCTGCATGCACAGCATCGACTGTGGTCAGCATGTTTCCCGTCAGTCCGGCAGTTCAAACCTGGATAAGCGCCAGGAGGAGGGCGCACAGGCCGACGGCTGAGGCACTGTGAGGTCAGCGACAAAGACACGGAGAGTCACGCAGAGCGAGGGCCGCCCTCAGTGATCCCAGCGCAGAGTCCAGGACAGGAGTCACCAGGTCCCTCTCAGAGGCCTTGGACGCTGCCCCGATGGCATCTCAGCGCGTCTGGAGTTTCTGGGGTTACCCCTCGGGGTGGAGGGGCCTCTTATGGGCAGGCCTGTCCAGAGCAGCAGGGCCGTGCCCAGCGCTGCCACAGCCACGAGGACAGGCCTGGCTGAGGCGCTAGGGTTGAGGACCCAGTGTTTCCAGGGGAAGAGCATGAAGGGGACACCCCTCCCTCATCCAGCCTCTGGGTCTTTCATAAACCCCTGCCCCCACCCCCTACGGCCCTAGGTTCTAGTCAGTCCATTGAAGGGGGAGGCTGGCCCCAAGCGCTGGGACCTGCCCTCCAGGGGCACAAAGTCCCCTGCCCGCCCCGCCCCCTGGGGGCGCTGTCCCGGGTAAGCTGGACAACTGGCTGGAGTTCACCCATGTTTAGTAAACCCACTGGGCCACCTGCACAGCCGCACCCTCCAAGGACCTCCTGCAATGTGTATGCCACGCCCCTTCTTTCTCAAAGGGCCCCAAACTCTAAGCAGGTGGGGTGCAGGGGCAGAGGGTGTGGGTGCTACTTCCTGGCCCCCTCGGAGACTGCGACACCCACCCCTCACACTTCCGTCCTCAAAGCCCCTGCATCTGACCTCATGGTAACCATGGTGACCACAGCTGCCTTGGTGCCCACACATGCCAGGCTGACTGGTGGCCCCTCTTCTGGCGCGTGGCCCACACTGAGATCCCCAGCCTCTGACACTCCACTTCTCCTAAGAGGCAGCCACACCCGGACTGGTCTCACAGCAGCTCCGCCCAGCAGCCTGCCCCAGGCGGGCCGGGTGAGGGTGTGGCATCTTGGGTGGTTGGTACGTTGCTGCGAGGGTCGCCGTGCACCTCAGACACCTGCCCCCCTTCCCTCTGCCCTCTCCTATGTCCTGCCCCTGCTACTCTGGAGATTGCCAGACACTAGAATGTAAGAGCCCCCCGCTGCTGAGTCACGTTTCCTGGAGACAGAGAGGAGCACACGGGCATGCAGGCTGTGGGCGGCAAGCCTGGTACAGGGCTTGGCTGGACGTAGCTGTCACCTGGGAGAGGTATCCGAGCAGGTGACCTGTAAAACCCAGGGACCAGAGACACAGTATCCCCTCAAAAAGCCCCTCTCCCTTCACCCGAAGTCAGGGAGGGTGGCAGCTGTCCTCCCTTCACCCGTGTCTGGAAACAGGATTCGGGCACCATCATCAAATAGGAAGTTCTCCCTCAGCCGAGTACTTCCTGACCGAAGACTGAGATTGGTAAAGTCACTTCAGAGGTGGAAATGGAAATGGAATATACAACTCTATTCAATTAAAAGCCATTTTAGGGAATTTTATTTAACTGTCAATTTATTGCCAACATCTAACATCTATTGTTTTGCTACATTTGGATAAGCACATTAGGGAGAAAATATAAATTAAATACTATGAAAGTTTTCTTTTAATGAAATATGACCTTAATTGGCTATGAATATATAAATTTAGTGGTTTTATTGCATTGTTAGAAAATTATATTAAGAAAGATACAAAAAAATCAATAGATGTTTATTTACAATTAGTATGCCATTACGGCTTTAAATTTCACTTACCCAACAGGTTTCAAAGAATAGTTTATTACATGCCATAATAAAACCCTTAAAATATTTACAAATTCAAAACAGATGTTTTATACGAAAACAAGTTCACCTGAGAATTCATTATAACATTGCTATCTGGGTTTTTCCAAGTTGTGAATGGGGCTGAGTGTCCACATGCAACCTGTATCGTCTACCACATCAGATATATTTAATTCCCGCCCGGCCAGCATGGCTCAGGGGTTGAACATCAATCTATGAACTAGGAGGTCACAGTTCGATTCCTGGTCAGGGTACATGCCCAGATTGTGGGCTCCATCCCCATAAGAGGTGTGCAGGAGGCAGACGTTCAATGATTCTCTCATCATTGATGTTTCTCTCTCTCCCTCTCTCTGAAATTAATAAAAGTATATTTAATACATATATATATATATATATATATATATATATATATATATATATATATATTTAATTCCTTATTCAAAACTGGCAAAGCATTAAGCTACAGTAAATTATGTTAGGAAAGTTACAAATGGAGGATCAAGATTTATATTCATGTTTGCTTTGAGCATAACAATTTAACAAATCATTTGCTATAGGTGAACTGAAATAACAAAATTTAAGATAATGTTATTTTGCTGGTTAGGCAATAGCTTTTTAAAAACCATCAAGCACTGAGAAAGCCGATTCATACGCCGGGAACCGGGGCCGTGTGACCATGCAGCCGACATGGAAAACCACCTTCCCAGCTTCTGCCGGAGACACCGGTGCACAGTGCGCACACAGCCAGCACCCGCAGGAAAATCAACTTCAAACACTTTTAGGAAAAACCTCTTTAGAAGTTAGCTTTAAATACGTATAAGTGTGTAATCCTATGCAATCTGTAGAAAACTACAGCCAAAAAGACAAAGATAAAATCATTTTTATCTTCCTGTCCCTCTGTTACAACTTGGAAATCACAGAGGTGTGAGGTAGTGGAGTTCCTGTATCCCATGCTGGCTAGTAAAACAATGCTATGCTTTACAGTTGGCCAATAACCGGAGCATCATTACCATAAACCCTTAATGCTAAGCTGTTTATATGTAGAGCTCAATTTAAATCCAATGCCTTAAAAATCATATACAAACTCGGGAGACAACTAGGACTTATCATTAAAAGAGAGAGGAAGCTTTCAAAGCAGTTATTTACAGGGGCAATTAAGCAGGTCATGTGACACCTGCATGCGCGCGCGCACACGCACACACACACACACACACACACACACACACACACACACACACCCCTGAGCGCCCACTGCTGACAGACAGCTGAGTGTCTGCTGAGGTAGGAAATCAAAGATTCCATTGGCTTGTATTTGATTTTACATTTGTAAACCATTTTTATATTATTTCGTATTTTGAAGTTTTAAGTATCAAACAGCTACACGGGGATGTCTGTGCCCACACACTTTATAGGTGGGGGTGCATTAGCACAGAGCTAGTCTCATTCTCCCTGACACATTCTTGAGTGTATTTGTGAAAGCCTCTAGACTGTAAGCAAGCCCAACTAGTTTCCTCACAACCACTAAGCCAGAGAGAGACCATACGAACCTGGACACAGACTAGAACGCCCCCTGCAGCCACCGCCCACCAGGAAGGGGCGCATTCGGCCAGGAGTCCGAAGTCCTGTGGTCCCTGTGCTCTCAGCCAAGGCCGCCTAGCTTCAGGCTCGCTGTCCCGGGCGAGGGCTGTCCCCATGGGAGCAGCACCCACGGGCCCTTTGTGTGGTTCAGGACACACTGTATGAAGCCTTGGGTGTCTGACGTGGTGAAGTGCTGTGTAACCCAAACACCCTCACTCACCCTTCGTCCCCTTTAAAACGGGCACATGTTTGTGGCTGAGAACATGCTTTCTAATGGGAGGAGGTCGAGTCTCGCTTTCCTTGTCAAACAAGCCTGTAAGAGCAGGCTGCTGAGACCGGCAGTGCTACAGGAGCACTCAAAGGCGGAAGCTGCCCTGAACAGGACGGGCAAAGAGGACCAGGATCACGGGCCCAGGACACCAGATTCGGGAACAGAGCAGCAGGCACTCTGATTTCCTAAGTCACTCACACATGAAACAAGATCGAGTGTCACCCTGTTCCACAAACCTATGCGGTTGTTCTAGAGGCTTCTTAAATCTACAATAACACTTTTCACAAGTAAACGATAGGCTTTCACCACCAGATGGAAGTGCCTGCCTCTCCCAGCCCTGCGGGCGGCCCTCCCCCCAGATGTCGGGCTGTGCTGTGGGGGGCAGGCAAGCCCTCAGGGTCCAGGGAGCCGAAGGCAACACTGCCTGAATCCAAGTCCCACTTCCCACAAAAAAGGACAGAGCATCAGGAGGCAGAGACCTTGAGGACCAGCGGGGCAAACTGAGAGGAGAGGAGCCATGGCCCTTACCTGCTGCCATGACCACAGCCCCTAATGTCCACAACAGCGGCAGAGCCTCTGCCTCAGGCCACCCGCCTGACCTGGCTGCCCAAGGCCCACGGGAGCTTAAGGTAACAGTGCAGGCCACCCACCCCTGGTTTTAGCAGGAGCTGCGGAGCCAAGCTCCAGGCTTCAGGCATCTCAAGCAGCTGCCCCACTGTGTGCAGCTCATCAGCTCCTGGGGTCAGGCTCGCTCAGCACACGCAGGCAAGGCAGGCTCCTGACTCCCCGGGCTCTTCCTTAGGGAACCCTGTGGACGCCTGCAGTTACACTGATGCTGGATGGGCTAGTCCACATTCTGGCATTTTGAATGAGGGGTAGAGCTGCTACTAACAGTTATTCTTTGAAACAGAATAAAAGTCTCACTGTGTGTTTGATGGGACTCTCTCTCTCCAGGAAGCCGCCACCTCTGCATTTCCGTGGAATCGAGGCATCAGGGGCCTCAGAGGAGCCCTCTCGGCCACGGAGGGGAAACAGTCCTATTGGCAGACCAATGGCTGGATGAGGCTCAGGACACACACCAGAGCTTCAGCAGGAGGCTCGGGGCTGGAAGGAGGAAGTGAGGCTCACTCGTCAGTAGTGCATTTGTCGGTCATCTGCTGGCAGAAGTCGGAGATGCCTGCACTCTGCCGGCTCTGCTCCGAGGGCCCCTCGCCCTCCGCGGCCAGCCTGGGGCTGTGCCCAGACTCCTGGGCCGGCACACAGCCCGACCCACTGTCCTTCCCGCCGGGGAAGCACGAGCTTTGGCCCCCAGCAGGCGGTGCAGCGGGAGGTCCCTCCGGTAAACTCAGAATTGGTGGGAACACAAGAGCACCATCAGAAGTACTTTTGTCCTTTTCAGAAATTAAAAACGAAAGTGGGCATTCTGAGGCCGAGTACTTGGCGAGTATCTGAATCTGTTCCTGGCTCAGAGCCGCCTCTTTACAGACTTGCTGGCAAAGTCCGGTCAGGTTCTGCTTGGTCTCACCCAGCGTCGACAGGATGTGGTCTCTCTCCCGCAGCAAGCTCTCCTTCTCACTCTGCTGTGGGCACAGAGAGAACGCAATGACTCGGGGGCATTAGCAGCCATTTGTGTCGGCAGTGTCTTCTCGTTAAACAAGGCCATGTGTTCCTTTCAATTCAACGAGAAAGGTGTTCAATACCTCAGGTCCACAATCCCTCATCCACACTCCTAGGCCTGACGTATCTTGGGATCAGGATTTTTCAGATTTAGGAAGATAATGTGGGTGCACATCTTCCCTCTGGTGGGATCTGGGCAGCCACCCACTGTCAAACATTTCTACACTTCTAAATAAAACACAGTGAAATATCAAACAACGTGCAAAGTAGAGAAGAAAAGATTCTACCTTGCCTGGTGTCATTTGCATCAGTTTTTGGCCAAAGCAGTTATGACACTCTCACTATTTTCTGGTCGGTTTTCCACTCTCTGGACTTGCAGATTGTAGAAGAACAATGTGGACTTACATTTCAGACAGAAAGGAGCCAAAGGCAGCACAAGCACACTCATCGTAATGCCTACGACTCGAATCACTGCCCGATTCTATAGCAACTGGCCTTTGAGCACTGACTCTGTGCCAAATATTGTGCACTCTCAGCTGTGAATGCCCACAGTCAGAAATCTAATGCGTGACCTACGAGAGTGTGAAGAACTGGGGTGTGTGGGGGAGAGAGAAGGGAGGGTCTGTTTTGTCAATCATATTATTATTGTTTGGAACTGTTCTCTCTCCAGGCAAGTCTTCACACAATGTTCTCAGGTTTGCTGGCTCCTACAGCCTGTCCACCACCCCCTGCTGGCAGCATGCTTCCCCCTCGCTCGCTCCCTGCCTGCTGCCCCTACACCTGCTCTGACCCAGCATAGAGGAAACACATGCTGGCAGAAGGCCCAGGCTCCCCTGTGGGATTAGACGAGGCTCTTGGTTTTCTGCTCACGGGCAGGTTCTGTCCAGCTGACGCTGTGGTTAACTGTAAGCTGAGTGATTTCAGGGATAATCCTCCAAATAGATTCTTTTCTGGAACAAAAAAAGCTATAAGCGTAAAAGGAAAGATGCTTTATATAAAAATACTATTACTGTTTTATATAAAAGTTTATCTAAAAAACTATGTGTATATAAAAGTTTATCTAAAAAACTTTATATAAAAATACTATTACTGTTTTATATAAAAGTTTATCTAAAAAACCACAGTAATTAGTTTTTAAATATTTCACGCCAGCTAATATTTTGAAAAAAAATAAATTACTAAATTTTTATATTGAAAAGTATCCTCCAATTTGTTCAGATTTTTATACAATTGTTCTGTTTGTTTCTGGGGAACTTACAAAGGTGGTACATGCTCCTGACTGGGAATCAACCCACAGACCCAAGCTAGTGCTCAAACCACTGAGCAAAACTGGCCAGGGCCCAAATCTGTAACTTTTCTCCTGTATTCCCATCCACTTTAATCACTCAGCAAAATCTCTCCGTGCCTTCACTTGTAAAACATCTGGTTTCTCATTAACCTTTTTACAGTTGTGCCTCGTCTTTTTAAATAGTTCTATGTCCTCCTCTTTTTGCACAAAGTATACACAAAATATGTAAATTTTTACTTTTCCACTTTCTTAAAGGTATATAAAAGCATGTTTTTTTTTCTAAATTGTTTAATTGCTATTCATAGCTAGAATATTCATGCTTGAAGATTGACTACAAGCACAATGTTAAACTCTCACCAGTAATTAACACCCAAAACTGAGCACAAAAGAAATGCTGTCTGCAAGTCCCAGCTTCTGCTGCTCAAACAATGTTCCTTCCAGACACCACTAGGGGACAGAGACAGCTGGGTGCAAGGGAATAATTTTCCAATTAACTTGTGTTTTGATGTTGGAACAGAAATAAGATTCAACAAAGCAGGCATTCCTCACACACAGGGTCTCCTTAAATTTCCTTTCCTATCAGCATCTAACTTTTCCCCTTAGATAAAAAATCCAAGTGGGTTTGATTTGGTATCAACCAAAACAAAGTATTCAAGCCTACAGTGTATTTTAACTAACACTGAACCATTAAGAGTTCCAGATACACGGCACAAAACACTGAAGTGCCTCAGAGCATCTTGCATCTTGCCTCAACCTAAGAATTATTAGGTAGGTGGTAAAACTACCTTTAATTTGTAAATTATTAAAAAGGCACTTAGAAACAGTTCTCAACTTGTAACATACTAAAAGCCCAGTGCACAAAATCAAACGGCTCCAGCCCCCCACGCCCCCACCCACCCACGCCAGTCTTTGGGTGTTACGGCATTAGGGCCATAAGCCTTTTATAATCTTATCTAATAAAAGAGTAATATGTAAATTGACCATACCTCTGCTGCACCCACCAGCCACGCCCACCAGCCAATCAGAGCAGGTATGCAAATTAACCTCAACCAAGATGGCTGCGGCCACAGAGAGCAGGAGGGAGGCTTGGGTTTCTCTGGCAATGGAAGAAGCCAAGCTTTCCACCTGCCCCTCCTAACCTAAGCCTCCACTCAAGGCTACAAAGTTTCAATTATAGAAGGTAAACAAATCCAAACAGAAATGGCAGCAGCCAAGGATCAAGCAGAAGGTTTGGCTCTGCTCCAGGCTACTAAGTTTCTATTGTAGAAGGTAAATAAATTCCAGATACCAGGGCCTCTGCTTGGGTCACCAAGGGGCGTAGCCAGCCTGCAAACCTCCATAGGCCCCTCGCCTACGCTGCCCCACACACTAAGGGAACCCCAACCCTGATCTGGAACACCCTTTAGGGTAAACCAGCTGGCCCCCACCCATGCACCAGGCCTCTATCCTATCTAATAAAAGAGTAATATGCAGATTGACCATCACTCCAACACATAAGATGGCTGCCCCCATGTGGTCCAAGATCCTGCCCCCATGTGCACACAAGATGGCCAGCAGGCAAGGGCAGTTGGGAGGCACCAGGCCTGCAAGGGAGGGCAATTAGGGGTGACCAGGCCAGCAGAGGAGGGAAGTTGGGGGCAAACAGGCCGGCAGGAGAGCAGTTAGACATCAATCAGGCTGGCATGGGAGTGGTTAGAGGGTGATCAGGAAGTCAGGCAGGTGAGCAGTTGGGAGACAGCAGTCCTAGATTATTTACGTAAGTAAAGTAGTCCATAAACATCCTCTTATTTCCTAAATGTCTTGTCTTTTCTTGAAATGGTTTATGTGGTAAATGTTAATGTACACCTGAACGTTCTAATCTCACTTAGGAATTAAAGTAGCTGCTTCCTCCACAATAAAGGAGAATGGGTGGCTGTGGTGGGATTTAACTCTCTGGCATCCTCACCAGCTTCTCGATTTCCGACTCCAGGTTCTGTATGCAGTCGAGCTTCCTCTTGCGGCAGCGCTGGGCAGCGATCCTGTTCTTGCTCCTCCTCCGGATGTCGTGGATGCAGTCCAGCTGCTCTGGAGTCAGCTTGTGCGTCCTCAGCAAGGACTGGAAGTCGTTCCGGGAGAGGGAGATGACCCGCTGTGCGTTGAACGGCAGTTTCACCTAGGACGTGAGGCAAGCATCAGCACCACTGCCGTGTGAGGGCTCCCGGCACACTCAGCCCTGGAGACAGAGGCACACACCTTCACTTCCCAGAGGCCTCCTCTTGGACTTAGAAAACACACCTCTTTGCCCAGTTCCTGTGCAATGCCTCAGGACTGGTGGTTTATCTGATGTTCCGAGCCTTCTTTAAAGAGGGCTCAGAAGACAAAATGAGAACCAGGTATTTTGTAAACAAATCAATCATGCCAACACAAAAATTAATGTATGTAAAATGAAAAAACAATGTATTCTACTAGCACATGTTAATATCCACAGATATCTTTATGCCTCTTTCTATATTGTCTTTTTAATATATTTTTATTTATATCAGAGAGGAAGGGAGAGGGAGAGAGAGAGAGAGAAACATCAAGATGAGAACTGGTTGCCTCCTGCACACGCCCACTGGGGATGGAGCCTGCAACCCGGGCATGTGCTCTGACTGGGAATCGAACCCGGGTCTCCTGGTTCATGGGTTGAAGCTCAGCCCATGCTGGCCAGGTTCTAAAGTGCTTTTAATGTGTTTTTATCCAACCACCCCCTCTCCAAATATCTATTTTATCCTTTGATTTCTATTACTTTCTGGCTCTGTTTTAATACTAGTATATTAAGCTAGTATTTCTAAAACATTTCAAAGAATGTATTTTTCTGTCAGGAAATGATAGTTTCACATAACTCATTTTAAAAGCTATACATCTTACTTGCCAATGTAGGAATAATTAGGAAAATGTTGTACATATTTTAAATTCATTTTCAAGATACATAAATTTTTGGGGAAAAGTCCTAATAACAAAATTGTGTAACAATTATATTAATGAGCAAAAATGCAAATAAAACATTGATCCGTTCCTCTGGCAATCTACTTAGTTGTTACATATATGAAAAATTTTAAAAACTTCTTAAAAGTTTTATTTTTAACTTTCTTTTCACAGTTCCAAACAGTGAATTTATAAATAGCATACAAAAGTCTACAGATTTAACTCAGGCATCCTCTTATTTCTTAAGTTAAATCACTAATCTCCTCCTCCCAAAGCCCAGGAAAAGAACCAGCTCTTACACTCTCCCAAACCTGTCACCCAACACTATCCAACCACAGAAAAGGATAAAGAACTAAGAAGCCCTGAAATTATAGGCATGTTTTACAAGCATCAGCCGTCACTTACCCACTACAGGTAGCCCTTCCTAAACCATTAGACATCATCAAGTTAATGCTGAAAGGCTAAGGGAAACAAGGAAAGAATGGCTATGAGAGTCATGTACTAGGAGAGGCAGGTCATCCTGGAGCCACGTCCCTACAACGGTCTCGCAGTCCTGCGGGGGATGGCCCAGGTGCAGGACCTGGGCCATTGATCAGACAGTCCTGCTGCCTGCTCAGGAGTCACACGCAGGGACCCAGCACCACTGCTCCCTCCTCAGGGACCTGGCATTTGAGGGAGCCTGTGGGCCTCCGGGCCATGGCTGGCAGAGCACCTGCTTGGTGCAGACCCCACAGTTCCACACCTCACGGTGTGGTTCCCCCAGCCAGCCCGTGCTTCCCCGGTGGGGTGCCAGGCGCTGACAGTGAATGCCCCTCAGTGGGGGCAAAGCCTGATTGAACACCCCGAGCCCTCACCTCACATTCCTGCTCTCGGGCTGAGCAGGGCTCACTGTCCCCTTCGGTGTCCGTCTCCGAGTCGTCCCCCAAGCTGATCACACAGGCGTATGGACAGGGTTCCTGCTGGGGCTCCGAGGCGTAGCCGTCAGCGCCCACCTCCAAGCTGCTCGCGTGGCCCTCGGTGCTCAGAGTGCTTATGAAGGGGCAGCTGACAGAACTTAACGTTGCAAATGTCCTCTGGCCCGGCTCCGGGCTGTCGCTGATCCTGATCCCTAACCAGGGGCACTCAGACCGCTTCTGAGAGGGGCTCTGTCCTGCCCCATCTTTGGCCCCCGCAGGTGACAGCTGCACTTGGCAAGGAGCGTCTGTGCTGCAGATGTCACTCCAGAAGCCCTTGGCCAAGTGCTCGGCCACCTCCCGCTCCACACTGCTGCGACCACCAGGAGGGGGGCCGTCCTCTCCCCGGAGGCTGGAGTCCGGTTTCAAAAGTAAATCCTCGCTTCCAGCCAACGCCTTCTCTTCTCCGACATCTGGGCCTGACAGCGGCTTTTCGGTTAACACTGCTGTGGGCTGCATACCAGCCAAGTTCAAGTCGCCATACTGGTCGTAGGTGTGCAGGAGGGACAGCGAGCAGAGGCCCGGGGGGTCCGCAGAGGAGTGGAGGAACGGCGCTGCTGTCTGCTCCAGCGGGCACTGGGAGGCAGGCTCCTCCGTGCTGTCCGCAGGCTCTGCTGCTGCGTTCCTTTCTTCACATTTTAAAACCGCCTGCAGGTCTGCGTGGTCCTGGGCTCCTCCCGGGCACTCGCTGTCAGGCGTCTCGCTGGGCGGAGCAGAAGTGTGACCGTCTTTGAACCCCGACTCCACAGCGCGGACTTTGTCCGTCCCAAATGCTTTCTGGAACTTTCTGTATTTGGGGCATAGAGATGGCAGGGCCAGAGCAGCCCCCTTGTCTAAGCACATGGACTCCCAAGTCTGACTGGCACTGTCTTGCAGGGGAGGTGACAGTTTTGTATTTCCTTGATATCCACGGAGTTTACATGGAGGAGTCTGAACATTTTTATTTTCCAAAAACAACTCCACCTCATTAATTTCTAAATCCTTCTGGTCCAAAAGCGGAAACTGGAGGCCTGTTTTCTGACAGTGGGAGGGGAAGCAGGTCTTTCGTGGGCATTCTTGCTGGTTGGCAGTGGAGTCCGAGGACTTGAATCTGAGAAACTGAAAGCAGGACTCCTCAATGTCATGGACGCCTAAGAACTCCACACACCTGCACACTTCGTCCACATTGTCCTGACTCAGGAGCAGCTTAGCCGTGTAGGCAAACTGAAGTAAAGGCTCAAACCCCTTCACTGTCACCTGTTAACGTACAAAATGAAAACAAGTGCATCACTCGACGGCTGTCTGGTTAATAATACAAGAGCAAACGGGACTAGAGATGAGTGCCTTACCTGTGACAAAGATAAGTAGGTGCTTTAACTGGTAAGACAACTATTCCCGTGGAGCGAAAGCTGAGGGGTCACGCTGTCACACACACCTCTTCAGGGACCATACCCTGCTCAGAGTCCACTCTGACTTACACATGTCACAATGCACTCTCAGGGGAAAGAAAGAGCAACAGCACCACACTTTCTCCAAATGGGCTGCAATAAACATAACGACAGCAGGAGGAGCCTGACACAGGTGGCCAACCCCGGTGTCCACGCCAGCCCACTGGCAGTCACATGCGAACAACTCCAGCTGCTGTCAACCACGGAGGGAGCAGTTTACAGGTGAGGAACAACGCAGCTTAAGGACTTCCAGGGGTTCTGATCCAGGGCAAATGCACAATAAACGGTAACAATAAAGTGTGCAGGTGTGTGGAGTTCTTAGGCGTCGTGAGGAGTCCTGCTTTCAGTTTCTCAGATTCAAGTCCTCGGACTCCTCATTCCAAAAACTTGTAATAAAATTTTTAAAGATTCAGATTTTAAAAGTGAACAAACTGAAGTTCTAAAAATCCTGCAAAGATCCACAGGCTCCCGGCTACACAAGCTTTAAGCAGGAACGTGCACATCTGCACGGAACCGGCCAGGTGGAGTGCAGGGAAAGCCTCGTTCTGGGTTACAGACAGAACGGGCTCTTCAACACGGAGGTCTCCCAAACACTCTGAGCTGCGAGTGCTGGAAACAAAAGCAGCTCTCCCCTCGGACTCACGAAGGAGCAGGGCACTCACACTGGCCAGCATGGGAATGAAGCAGCCCAGGGCTCCCTGTAAAGCTGGAACACACCCCCCATCCAGCCTGGCGACTGGGTCCTGCCCTCTGTCCCCGAGAAATGACCTGGACACAAATGTCCACGGCAACGTCATCTGTAATAGCCAAAACCTGGAATGAGCCTAATTTCCTTTAATAGGTGAACAGTGAAATAAAGACTGGTACATCCATGCTGTGGACTTCTACTCAGCAATCAAAAAGTACTATTGATATATGCAACCTGGATGAATCTCGAGGAAATTACGTGGGAAAAAGCCAATTCTAAAAGGTCACATTCTGTGTTATTCCAATTATATGACATTTTTGAAATGACAAAACTTTAGAAAGGAGGGCAGATTAGTAGCTGCCAGGGGTTAGGGATGGAAGTGCGATTACAAATGGTTCCTTGGGTGTGGAAACCACTCAGTATCTGACTGTGGCGGACACATGAACTGCACAGAACTTCCCACACACACACACACACATACACACTTGGTGCAAGTAAAACCAAAAACTCAGTAAGATGATGGGTTGTATTCATGTCAATATCCTGGTGATTATATTCTTCAATAATTTTGCAAACTGTTTATTGGAGGAAACTGGGCAAAGGAGGTCAGGACACATGCCTGGGGCTGTGGGCTCAATCCCCAGTAGGGGGCATGCATTAGGCAGCCGACCAATGATTCTCTCTCATGCTGACATTTCTCTTTCTCTCCCTAACCCTGCCTATCTCTGAAATCAATACAAACCTATTTTAAAAGTTAAAATTAAAAATAACAGCCCTTGGGAGCGGCCAGGCCCGGGGGAGCAGCGGGTCGGGTGCGGCCAGGCCTGGAGCAGCGGCTGCCAGGCTGGGAGTGGCCAGGCCCGGGGGAGCAGTCGGGTCGGGTGTGGCCAGGCCTGGAGCAGCGGCTGCCAGGCTGGGAGCGGCCAGGCCCGGAGCAGCCGGGTCAGGTGCGACCAGGCCCGGAGCAGCGGCTGCCAGGCTGGTAGCGGCTAGGCCCGGAGCAGCAGCAGCCAAGTCCAGAGCAACTAGGTCGGAGCGGCAGTGACCAGACCCGGAGCAGCTGGTTGTGGAACGAACCAGAGCAACAGAGGCCAGGCCCTGAGCAGCCAGGCCCGGAACAGCTCGCTCCTCGCCTGCCCCTGCCCCACGGCTGCCTCTCAGACATGGCTGGAAACTTTCGCGGGAACTTGAGGGTCTGCTGAATCAAGTGATGAAGGCTTAGATCTGGATGTGTTGAGTTAGTATAGGGCTGGGGTGTTGATCTGTGAGTGCCTTGGGTGGGGCCTGGATGAGGCTAGTTGACCTATTGGGAAATGTCTTTTGTGTCAAGTGTATCATTGGGCATGTGGAGGTATTATTGATATGAAAAAATGCTAAGTAACTGATTTACTATCTGAAAAGGGATTTACTATCAGGGAAAGGGAGGGAAGAAGAGACTGAACATAAACTGTGCACCTATGGATGAGGACAATGGGGGATGGGGAGGGGGCGGAGGATGGGGTGGGAACCTGGTGGAGGGGGGAAGAAATGAGGAACCTTTGTAATAATATGAACAATAAAGATTGATTTTAAAAAAAATAAAAAAAAGAATAGAGGTAAAATTCCATAAGAAAATAAAATCAATCTTGGAATTAAAAAATAAATAATAAATAAATAAATAAATAAATAAATAAATAAAAATAACAGCCTTAACTGTTTTGGCTCAGTGGATAGAGCATTGGCCTGTGGACTGAAGGATCCCAGGTTCGATTCCAATCAAGGGCATGTACCTTGGGTGCGGGCACATCCCCAGTGGTAGGTATGCAGGAGGCAGCTGATCAGTGTTTCTCTCTCATCGATGTTTCTAACTCTCTATCCCTCTACCTTCCTCTCTATAAAAAAAAAATAAAAAAATAAAAAAATTCAATAAAATATATTTAAAAATAAATAACGTACATTATTCATCTGCTCAATAAATATTTTTAACTAACATCCAAAATTAATAACTTAACATGTAAAATGTCATAATTTGGTGGAGAAGGTTAAAGAACCGTACTGTTGCAGAACCTCAGAACTGTGCCTGAGCCTGGAGACAAGACGGTTCTGGCTTTACCCAGCGAAGCATAGGAGACTGAGCAGGTTCCATGAGTCAAACCCCGGGCAGACCCGCTCACCTCTTCTGGGAGAGAAATGCTACGCTCCGGCTCGGCCGGGCCCAGGACCCTCGCGTGGAAGTAAGTGCTGCAGGCGGCCAGCACGGCGCGGTGGGCGCGGAACGGCCGCCCCTCCACGAGGACGGTGACGTCACACAGCTCATCCTTCCGGCGCTGGTCGTCGAGGCTGAGCAGGACGTTGGCGCTGTGCACCGAGGACTCATAGGCAAACACCGCGCTCTCCCCCCGAGACATCCTGAGTTGCGAGTGGGGCTGGGACGTGCCGTGAAAGCATTCTCCCCCGTATCCGAGCTGAAAGACACGGCGGGCAAGGTGTCAGCTGACCAAAATGAACAGGAAGGCCTCAGGGGCCACCCCCTCACTGAAGCCAGGGCTGGGAGCACTTCTCTAACCAACGTCAGGACAAGGTCTCGGTGGGGAGGAAGGGTTCCACGGGGCTCTCACAGGGAGGCCTTTCATACTGAGAAACCACGACCAAGAAGAGCAGGGGGGCAAGGACATTGGGGGGCGGAGGGTACCCATTCCTGTTGCTCTAAGACGTGACGAGGCGTGTGGGTCCCCAGGGGGTACGATTGGGGCACTGTGCCCACGCTCTCCAGCCCCTTCCCCACCTGACAGCTGGCAGGAGGGCATGTGCTTCCTAACAAGGAGCACATCCCACAAAAGGTCACGTCCCTCCAACAGGAGAAGCAAACGACCTCTTTTGAGAACAAGACACAGCGCAGGCTGCAAGCAGAGCCCCCTCCTCGCTGGAACACAGGTCACATGCACAGAGGCTCCTGGTTCTCTCAAAACGTTAGGACAAGTTATCAACAATGCGTATTTTTAAGATCTAAACTAACACATAGCAGCCTCCATACATTCTTATCACATACAACCACGTGTATCTGTGTCTCAGACACATACTACCGTCCTCACATAAGACCTTTTCAAACACCAGGAGGGGACTTGCCCTCGTGTTTGCTTCCAGACCCCAATGCCATGGTGAGCACCCCACATTTGTGCACCCCCATGGTGTGTGCTCCTCCCACGGCATGTGATCACATGACGGCAGCTGAGAAGCAACTCGGGAAGCACTCCTGTGACCTGGGCCCTTGTCCCCTGACACTTGACTCACTGCCTAAAGCCTGAAGGCCCCCAAACGCTGAGAAACGGAGGAAATGCTCCTGCCTCAGATTCCTCTCCTCCACACAGATGGAGAGAGACAGGACCGCAGCCTTCAGACAGACCAAGCAGACCAGGCATCCACCTCCAAGATTCAGACACGGATGCTCCTCAGACTCTGTCCTACTTCTACGCTTGCTTCAAAGTGCTCCGTGTGGTTGAACTTCGAGTTCCTCAGCAGCAGTCCATGACAACAGCTCAAACTGTGCTCAAGCTCCACCCGACATGAGGGACCCCACAGGGAATCAGAGCAACTCTAGAATTACTTCCCCAGAACTGCCTGCCTTTGGGGTGTGCCCATAGCAAACGTCAGTTCCCCTTGCCAATTGGTCTTCATACTTCAGTTGACAACAAGGAATCCGTGTTGGGAAGAGCAGGGCAGAACCGTCGGTCAAGGACATCACACACCTGCATGTGTGGCTCCACAGACAGTGCCTCCACCTTCTCCAGACGGCCACCTCCCAGCCAAGCAGGACTGGACAGCTGACCCTCCAGCCACTGTGTCCCCGCACCAGTCCCAGCCTGTGCTCTTTGTCTGCTTTGCAACCTCCTAACACTATCGCAGCCTTACTTTTCTGTTGGGCCTTCACCTCTGGAGCCCTGAGGCCCTTGGGTCCCAAGGGGACTGACTGCAGCCCACCATTCCCAGACCCTCACCCCACCACCACTTGCAAGGCCACTTGGGTGGCTCAACCACCTGCTTAGGCAGTTTGGGGTGACGGCTCACCTCACAAGACAGAGCCAGCTCACAGATCTGCTGTAAGGTGCAGATGTGGTGACATGCACCCATCAGCTACCGCTGAGAGCAGCTCGAGAACCAGGCGGTGAAACAGCCCAGAGGCCTGCACTGTGCACACACACATACACACACCTGGACCCATCTTCTCCCACCAGAGAGCAGGGCGCGTCCTAACACTCCCCACACGGGGCCCTGCGCAATCTCACACCGAGACTGCACACCGGCCTCACCCTGAGACCCACTCCCCTCATGAGCACTGCCACCACTCCGCCGGCTCTCAGCTACACCAATGCCGCTTGCTTTCCAGAGGGCTTACAAGTTCGCACATGCGCATGCACAGCTGTACAAACAGAAGTAAACCCAAGTTTCACATGCCAGTACTTTACCTTTACCAGACCCAAGTACTCTAGCTTGTGTTGTATAAAAATTTCCAGTGTGACCCTCTCAGAGTCAAGAACCACTGGCAGACCATCTACTCTTGCCCTGAAAGCGCATGCCCAGGGCTCACAGCACGGGGTCTGGAACCCCACGCTGTCTGGGCTCAAGTCCCAGCTCGGCCACTGCCTGACACATGGCCTGGCCAGCTGCTGACCCTCAGGGGTCTAGCTTTCTCCCCTGTGAGGCGCAGAGAGCAGCAGCACCCCGGAGCTGTCACGAGTTTCCCTGAGACGAGAGTAAAAGGGTTTGGCACACTGCCTCACCCACAGCAAACAAATAATAAATATTAGCTGCTCTTCAAACAACCGCAGCTTCTCTCCCCTCAAGTCCTCTGATCCTCTCGTTTCTTCTCCCAGCAATGTCCTCCTCCCTTCCTGAAAATCCCGTGGTGCCTTCCAAGTGTCTGATGACCGATTTTAAAGCCTCAGCGTGACTTGCGTGGTCAGACTACCTATTTACCCAACGTCTTCTCGAGCCAGACTCCCTCTCCTGCTCTTCCCCGGCCTCACCGTTCGTCCTGCCCACAGGCACAAACTCCTCCCTCCCCAGCCGCTGCTGCACTTGCTCCCTGGACCCCTGCTCTTCACTGGCCACCTCCTCACCGTTTAGGTCTCAGCTAAAATGTCAAAACCTGGCCAGACTTGTTTTCTGCCCTCAAGCATATAACACAGGATTTTGTCCAATGCAGGCACTTGCTTCTGAATGAATGACGATTTTTTAATACAAACCCAAAACCTCGATCATCAACTTCTTCTTCCAAACACAGCACAGCCTATGGCCATACATATGCCCTGAGTCGGGACTCAGAGGAATACCCTTGATGGCTTGTCCAGAGCCAGGAGGAGTGGAAGAGCCCTCCCTCATCGCTCTGGGAGCTGGAAATACACCTGCAAGACAACAGCCAAAGAAGACCAAGGATGGGCAGCTCTGAGCACAGCCACCTCACTGACCTGTAGGAAGGAAGTCCCTCAGCCCCGGCCTCACTGCGTGGAGCACAACAGGAAGTTCAGAAAATCAACTGCCCTCATTCTGAACGCCTCCCTCATTCTGAACGCCTCCTAAGTGGTCAGTAGCCCATTTTCACCCAGCAGTGTAACTAAGCAATGACTAAATCAGGTAAGAATGGCACACATCCCTCTGATACGATAGAATCATCTTCTAGTATTTCTCAAACCTAAAAAGATTTAACACCCCCCAAGGAATCTTCCAAAACTAAAATTCTGTTAATGTATTAATACCAAATTTAGATTCCTAATGTTACACAAGACTTTTTCTATATATACTACAGTTAAAGTTCAAAATAAAGGTTTGCTGACCTTAGCAAATTGCTGACTCACCCAGTAATGCTGACGAAGGATGAGCAGACATTTCACACTTCCTGTACCTCCATTTGGAAATAACTTCTGCTCTCTGCTCAACACATACGAGTTTTAAAACAGTGACCACCTGTTTTTCTTTCAAAATCATAAAGAAAATGAAAAATGGTCTGTGGCTTTATCACATTTTAATACAAGTAACTTTACGGGTAATTTACTTTTAAAAGCCCTTAAGCACCTCAGGTAACTGCCGGATCCTGAAGCCAGGCCTGCCTGCTATGAAGCAGACCCTCAGAAGAGATTGTGTGAGGGTCCCGTCCACGAGCAGCAAAGAGCAGGCGCATCACCCACCTCACGTCTCATGGGGCTGCGCGGTCCTTTTAGGTTCTCAACATGGAAGGCACAGAAAGTTACCTAACACCAAAGATCATTTTGTAGAAAAAGAACCATCCAAGCATCCTCTGTCTTCACTATTATTCCTACAGGTGTCCATCCTGCGACACAGCAGGGCAGGTGCCATGAAAACAAGAGACAGTGCCCCCATTCAGAACATAGCCCAGAGCTGCTCAGACTGGAAAGGATGCCTGGGTGAAGGAGAGCACAGTGATCCTTATAACCCACAGACACAGGAAGGGAGCATTTCCAAGGTATTTATTTACTTGTAGTAAGTCTTCAGACAAAAAATACTTCCAGGTCAATCCTCACTTAACCATAATATTAAACTACAGAGAACTATGATTTCCAAAACAGTCCTGTTCACCAAGGTTCGGGGGAGACAGGGGGCCAATAAGTGCCCAGCGGCCCTAGGTATCGGAAATAGTGCACCAGGCCACTCTCCCGGCCTGTACCCTGACGCAGTGCCTCCACCGCAGCCTGGCTGAGGTCCTTCTTCCGTCCTCACGGTTCTGCCTGCCTCCCCTTACTACACCCGCCCATGGCTCTGCCTCCCTCAGCTCAGCTGCAAGGCAGGGTCTCTATGGCTCAGTCCCCTCACCACGCCTCCTTTGTGGCTCCCTCCGACACTTCGACGTTCCCTACACCAGTGGTCGGCAAACCGAGGTTCGAAAGCCACATGTGGCTCTTTGGCCCCTTGAGTGTGGTTCTTCCACAGAATACCATGTACGAGCAAGCACGTACAGTGCAACTGAAACTTGTGGCCCATGTGTGGAAGCTGGTTTTTGGCCTGGGCGAGTCTATTTTGAAGAAGTGGTGTTAGAACACTCAAGGGGCCAAAGAGCCACATGTGGCTCGCAAGCCGCTGTGACCACTGCCCTACACCAAGCCGGTCGAGGTTGGTTACAATGCACCCAGGAGCCCAGAGAGGGAGCAGCTGCAGACACTAGAGGAACCTCACCTCTGTTGTCCAGTGGACGGCAAGGCCCCAGGGTCAGCCCTGGGCTTTCCTCCAGAGGCCTTTATAAGAAAAGCCATTTAAATGGAGACATGCACAGCCATTTAAATGGAGCCACGTACAACATGGCTTTCTTGTCACCATTCCCAATTCTGAAAGAGCCTTAACAGCCAAACATCTGGGGACTTTAAGTCAGAGACATCACTTACGTCAGCGTTCTTCCCGA